TTATCAAACTCATTAATAATTCATAGGATTGTAAGCCAATGATATGCTATTATACGACCACGTGACGACATTTTTAGTAGTAGAGAAAAGCGCAACATTCTAAAAGTCGGGGGCGGCATTGAATATTTTCAGGGGAGTGCGGGGCTGATAAAGCATTAATGAATAAAACATTAGTCCTTTATCAATTTACGATAAAGGACTAATATTTTATTCATTAATGCTTTATCAAGATCAAATGCAAGACGCCAAAGCAACATATAGTCTTTAATTTTCAAGTTTTACCTTTAAGCTAGATAAATACATCTGTGTTATTACTTAACTGTTCAATCATTTTGAATTAGTAAACGTTACATTGGTGAAAGTGCAGTTACTAAACACTAATTTAGGTGGACTAGCTGTACAAGCTTCACTAACTTTTGGTGTAGGCCGAGTTACACTGGTAGTGGCACTCTCGTAATCTATGCCTGCTAATATTTCATCTGCCACATCTTCATTAAACATCAAATCATCATCAGATAAATTAATGCTGCATAATGTTTCATCAGAAATTACATTATCAAAAACATTATCCCCTAAGGTATCAAACAGATTGAACTCAAATGAAGGGTAATTTGTACTATCGTTAGCCTCGGAATTACAAGGACCTAAAATTGAACTCGCTTGCTTTAACTGTTGATTTGAGACTCTTTCATATTTGAAAAGTGAATCTGATTTGTGACCCGTTCGATCTCTAATAAGCTTCTCTTCAATACCACTTTGAAAAAGCCTAGTTGCAGTGGTTATCCTTAATGAATGTGCTGTCTTCCTTGGCAGGCCGGCCTTAGCACAAAGCTCATCTGGTAGAATACCATTTAACTTATTTTCACCTAGAGGTCTTTGCTCAAATTCAAACTTACTGAAATCGCGATTTGGATAGAAATAGAAAGCCTTATCCTGTACTACTGAATCAAAAATTTTGATTTTTTCAAGATACAACTTATACAATTGTACTAAGCACCTGGGATGCTCTTTACCTGAATCGTGGCAAAAATGAGTGGATACTCTTGGTGTATTTTTTAGATCTTTGAGGCCACCGTGAAACGTTTTGCTAAAACTTTCGTCAAAAGTGATTATGTTATCAGTAATCCTGAAATTAGCTATTCGCAAATTGCGATGGTCTTTCGCCCTTAGACCAAATAATTTTCCATTATAGAAATAAATAGTGTGCAATAAACTAGTAGCACAATTACCCCCTAACAGTCCTTTAGACCAAAGTATCTCCTCTTCTTCTGCTGTAACTGGTTCTCGTTGTGGTTTTGTGTTCTTAAGGCCAAATCCTTTTTTTGTGGACTCTTTCATTTCGGCGTCCATGACTTTTCTTAGCAAGGAAAATCTAGAATAAGAAGGTAAAGTCTTTATATAAAGCTTACGGTATGATTTACTCATATTGTTTTAATTTAACATTGAAAACTTACCTTTTATCACTCTTATCCATGAAGTTGTAGTCGTTCTTGTCTTCCAGGTATCGGTTTATACCACACACAATGCTGTTTAATGTCTTCGGTGGATACAGGTCGCCGTCCTTTTTGGCAACTTCTTGCACAAATTTAATCATCCAAAAATTTAATGACTGCGCTCCCATTTCCTCCAGATTTGTGTCGCAATCTTGCAGAGTTTTAATGTCGCCAAAATTGAAACTAGTTTCTTCAAACTCTGCCTTTTTATTATTCCGGGCCTTTTGCCAGTCGCAAAACAGAGTTACTGCCCATTTTGTTACATATTTTGTGTTCTTTGGGACACTTGAGCCTACACAATTGGCCTCTTCTTCTTTAGACTTAGGTTTCCTGAAACGCCTCATTTTCCTTCGTTTATACCAGCGTTATTCTCGGGAACAGCTTATTGCTCTCAGTCGATAAACTGAACTAACTTTTCGCATCATCGTGAATAGTAATAAGTTTGAATTCCCTGGATAGTTATATTTTGAAATGGTTTTCAGCTTTAAACAATTCCCACAGGCAATTAAATATCTACACGTTGTATCTTATGAATGCAGCTCATCAAAGAAACATTGTTTCACTATTATTCGATAACAAGATACTTATAATTAAACCCAGTTTTCTGCAAAAGTGTACAGTTACTTTACTTAAAACGAGAAAACCTCTCAGAAATATCTTTTTTATAAGATATTTTACATATGAATTATACTAGGAGTTTGATAAGTTGTATAAAGAACTCAAGAGCGTGTTTTATCGGCGCTAAAGATTCTCGCCTTCGGCTCGAATCATTATCAGCCGATAAAACACGCTCTTTCGTTCTTTATACATTACTTAAAAATAGATGATAGCACTCAAGCGAATCAACTTATAATTCAATACTCAGGAGAGATAAAAACACAAAGAATCAARTTATTTCATTAATTTTTTATTGATATCAGAGTACAAATGAAACAAAGAATGAATGACTTAAAGTCCCAGTTTGAACCATTATGCTTTGCGCGCCTCTGTTATTRTGATTTGCACTAAAATACCTCTAGTATCCAAATATCACCATAAAACGAGTTTCAGATGGTTGAAAACTCTTATAGTAGCGTTTAAAGTGCTTAGAAAAGTGAGATGCGCAAAGATTCGAAAAGCACAGTACAATTTATAGAGTTCGGTAAACTTAAAATGGCCGCCTCCCGGCCCCCAAAGCATAATGCAAATGCGTCGTAGTTATGACAAAATTGGCGGGGAATATTTCGTGCTTTGATTTCGCTCTTCTTTGGAGTTTTTGCTTGATTATTAACTTGGAGATTGCGTAAGCAATCGAAGAGTTATTGGAGAGGGACGATGTGTCACTCACTTTCCTGTTAACTTTTAAAGATAGCCGCTGAAAAAATTCGCAGACTCTCAAAATCCGCTGAAAAAAATCGCAGGCTCTCAAAATGGCGGACCAAGAAATAACCGGGGAATCTCAAAACATGTCTAAAGCTGGTCTGAGAGACAATTTTCGGAGAAATTTACTTGACTTACTTGGAGTACATCGTACTAAAGTTAGAAAATTTGGATTGGTAACGAAACGAGTTTTGCAGCCGAATTTGCCGGCTAAAGACTGACTGCGATCGTAGGTTTGTTGATGATACTACTTGTAGCAATGTTTTAGCTGATCATCATAAGCTCGGTGGTTCACTTTTCAATTTCATATTCTGTTAATTTTTTTGTTCAAAATCACCCTACAATCTCCGAGTTGTGTTGCCATTGGCAGCTTGATTTTTTGTTAATGACTAATTTTTCTGTTATCATTTTCAATGATAAATGTTTGAGGAAAAAATGTCGGTGTTTCATCACATTTATTTGAGCGGTTTTGTTTTTTCTTTTCGTACGGAGTATGGATTTCCTGTGGTGGTACACGACGGAATGCGGAAACGTGCGCACGCCGGGAACCCTGTGTCGGTCCATGAAAAATCGACTCAAAAATCAAGGTTTACACTCATTCACGGCTCACGGTTATATTTTTCTCGTTTTCACGTCTCCTTAAATAGTTTAACCGTTTCTGTGAAGGANAAAGACCCTTTTGATGCACCGAGTGAATAAATTGCGTCTTTTGAACGTCTGGATATTTCCGTCAAAGCAAAGACCCCTTTTGTGATGTACTCTATCATATATATTTAGTTRTAGAAGTAATGGAAAGAAGTAGTGCTTGGAAATGAGGTTCGTTTCGGGAGATAAGACCTTTGGAAATAATGTCAGAAAAATTAATTTCCAACTTCGCTGAGATTCGAACGAACGACCTTCGGATTTGTAGTACCGATTTTCACACTACAAGCTGAGCTACAAGGTAGGTAAGATATAAAGATGAACGTAGCTCTAGCATACATGAAATAGATTAATGTTCATAAATTAATAGTTCAATTGCCGTGACCTAACATCTATTTCACCTTTGTTTCCTTCTGGTCTGACCTTGTAGCAGTCAGCTGGTAGAGCATCATTCGGTAGTATAAATCCGAAGGTATAGTCAGTACTATAATCCCAGCGCGATCGGAAATTAACTTTTCGTAATAACCTCCTTTCCTATAACTTTCTACAATTTCAATTTCATATTTTACCACGCGTTCTACATATCTATGTATTTATTTACCTTGGTTARAATATTGATGTTCCCGAATGAAGATCCAGCACAATTCTACAAACACCCAAACACAAGGGTAACGACCTTTATCCTRAGACCAATGGAATTTCAGTCTTAGACTTCGTAATTTCACGATAAGTATTGACTAGAAAAGGACTAAATAAAAACGTTGAATGTATTTGAAAATTTATCAAAACTTCAAACACCAATAAAATGAAGTAATAAAATAAACAAATGAGGAACTGTCTTTATTATGTTTTGACAATGGCAACCGGTGCTTGAAAAACACTATACATTYAACACCAATGAAATACTGCCCAAATATAAACACTGTTTATAGTACAATACGACCGCTCATGTTGTAAACTATACTTTAAGGGGAATTACCATGTAGGTCCTGTACATAAAATTGGACCCTTATTCCCTATTAAAGCTTTTTTTACCAACACGGTCACCATCTTGAATTCTTTTAGGAGGAGATGACGGGTTCCTGGGAGAAATATTTCTGTTCTTTGTCCCAGCTGTTAGTCACAATTGGTTGCCAGCGAGAAATTCAGGAAAAAAGAACACTCCAGGCAAGGAATTTTTGCCAGGAAAATAAATATTTCCTATCCAAAAAAATGTAAGCCGTTTTTTACCATAAAACGTCATATAAGCCTTTTTGGACCTAAAAAAACGTTTGCCAGGAACAAAATTATTGTAAAGAAAGGGCACCACATTTRCGTGTGAAAATGTCAACAATGTAGCTCAAAATCCCTTTAACAGGAAAAAATCCGTACAAGAACAGTTATTTAGAAGAACAGACCCCGTCGGCTCCTCCCTTTTTATTGCTCCTGCTGTTTTATTGTTTCAATGAGAAATCCTTTATTGAAGTTCATCCAAGATGTCCGCTGTATGAGGTATAGTGAAAACGAAGAATAGGCCCAGAATGACCGATTTTTGATCAAAAAGCAAGACTTTCAACARCTAAAACGATTGTACTATAAGGAAAYGTTTATTGTTTAGTGTTATTTTAAAAGTCATGATATTTTTCACGTGTCATTCGAGGTGGATTTCATTAAGTTTTTTTTTTGTAAAATGCAAAGCATTGTCCTTGTATGAATTCTTACAATATACGGAAGATTGCGAAGATCCAGTTCTATTCTTGTGAAACCCTGTACTTTTGCTACTAAATTATGAGTATTCTTGTAAATTTCACATGGTTGTTCTGTTATTAAATGAGTATATTGTAGCATTTCTGAATTGTCCCTTTGAAGGCCTTCTTTCTTTGAATATCTAATAATAAAAAAGAGAAGAATTATTCAAGAATCATTAGGTCCTTGCTCATTAAGGGACGAGGCCATCCAGCATTCAATGCGGTAGTGCTATAGATTTTTCATGTATGGAAAATAGGGTGACTTAAAATATGCAGTTAGAATCCGTTTCAATGTGTTCCAGCTTAATACGTAGTCGTTGAGAAGAGATCAAAACAATTCATAKAGCAGTAGATTTGAATTTACCTCCAGTTGGGATTCAGTTCACCAAACCTTGAAATCCCAGTTTCAGCTGCGGCGACGTCAATGTGGACATACACAGGCTCTGTTGACAGAATAACATGAAAATATATCCAATAAAAACTTGATTGACAAACGCTGCAATGTTTAAAAAGTTGGATCATTGAATCTAAGTCCAAGGGGGAACATGACTATAATAACAAGTTTAAYATTATACACATAGCATAAARAACCGAGTAAGCTWAAAAAGGCGGGAAAAAGAGAAATGGCCGTGCGCGCRTGCACCAGGTGATGCGTATTGACCAATGATCGCGCTCCTACTATTCGTACCAGTTAACCCACCTGATTGGTTTATTAGTCKATGTAAATGGTGAAACGCCAGYCCACCAGGGTAGTTGTGGTGTGACACGTGTAAGAAGATCAGATTTGCCATAAAATTGAACGCAATRCCTGCCAGCGTGGACACCATTACCGCACATGAAAGCCATGACTTGTATTTGTTATRGAAATTGTATCTATGGGGATGATTAGATAAATTATTACGATAGTAACACTCGGACCACAAAAATAACGATAACAATTATTTGTAGCAAACTAATCGAGCTTTTAGGTAACTTCTCTATAGCAACTGTAAGATGTTGGAAAAGTGGTGTTTTTTAAAATCTATACTTTGCGTAGACTAGACGTTTTACCAATCTCGCGCGCTGCATGATTGGCCGATAAGAGTGTGTCAATAAAAGTACATGCACACAGTTCTRACACCATAGCGTCTCACACGGGCGCTAAGTTGAAAGAAAAGAATGATTATCGCTAATTTATTGAGTTAAATGTGGTAAAAAAACAAATTGAACACGATTTTTCGTTGTATGTCCTCTTATCGACACACTCTTGGTGCCGTAAAATGTTCAAAACTTTGCAGTGAACCCACTTTTATGACGTCAAGAGCGCGTCAATAAGACGACATACAACTCAAAACCGTGTGCAATTTGTTAAATATCACTCAACCATACTTTATTRCTTCGAGCGGTTTGTTGGCAATAACTTCACACTGTGTAAAAACAGAAGCCCGGCAAATCGGCTTATCAGAGCGCTTACTGCTATTTAARGTATAATTTTATCATTTAAAATGAAAACTCACATATGATTTATACCACAGGCGGCTGCTGTATTCAAGACAGGAAAGACATAAACGATGAACCTGAGCTCCTTGTGTGGAAGAAATGAAAACAARCAAACAAACGCAAACGAAGGAAAGACTAAGCTCCATATTCTCCTCTCTTTCCATAAACCAATTGGTATTAATAGCAGACCAAAGAGAAGTGCTCTTGGAAGAACGGAGTAGAAGTACCATAAAAATGGCGACGTCTAAATAGGGAACCACATGTCAAGGAGAAAAGTGATTTCCAATGAACTGCATRCAACTGCCAACAGTTTTGGTTCGGATGAACGCAGGCTATGAACACATGACATGCACAAACAAAATGTACTGGATAATGCATCTGTCATCTAATACACAGTGAATTTTGAATGTTATGCTTAAATTACATTGTCAATAATTATACTAATGTTCTTTTTTCAAAGGATACACCCCAATGAGAACTTTTATTGAGGATAGCATTAAAGTAGAACACTTCCCCTTCAGGCCAAAGCAACCTCTTCCAAAATATAGAATCCACAAACACGGTTGAACCTGTAGATTGAAAATGTCATTACAGCTGTAAAAACATCAGCATTCCTTGTTTTACATGGAAAGCTAAACAAACAGTAAATAACTCTTGCTATGGGTAAATGCTTAAGTGCAAGATAAAAATGTGAACTATTTACTACAAACAATTTTGTTTATGGTTATTAATTAGAGCAATAAAAAGATACGAATAAAAAAAAAACCCTTGTTATGAATATGTGTACAACATGACACTATGAGATGGAAACAAAGGTAATTTATAGTTCTTAGAAGTTTTTTTTTTGCCAACAATAACCTCCTTTAAATCACTTTATATAATATAGCTATCATAGTAACCACTCTCTGATTGGTCAAATACTATTGCTTATTTCACCAGTAAAAGCACGGATTGAAAATGCCATGATATAAAAGCAATAAACAACATATTTTCTTGCCTCCATAACAAGATTGTTTACACCTTTTTCGTGTTCTCCCAACATCACACATGGTTTATTTCACCAGGAACACACAAAAATGTGTTGTTTATTGCTTTCCATTATTTCCATTTTAAATCTAGTTATAACTGATAGTTACCAAGTCCTATTGTTCCAGCAAGGAYTGAATGTATAAATGTCTTGGTTACTGTAAGTCTTCCAGTGCAGAGCTCAATAAGCAACATCAACCCAAGAGGAATGCTAAGCTCAGCTCTAAATATGATAATAGCAAAGGCAGATGTCCAAATGAACAATGCATGTTTTTTCTGAAGCCAGTAACTTGAAGCAAGTAAAACTGAAAAAAAAAAACACATATTGTATAGTTTACAACATTAGYGGCCGTGTTGTATGGGAATTACAAACTCGAGCCGCAACACTAATAAACATGAATTAAAGTGAGAYAAATGTYGAAAAATGACAAATAAAGGTAACTGCTGAGTTTAGTCACTATTAAGCATGCACAATTTAATGCAACACAGAACATTTTAAGCATTAAGCATTCTGTTGCATAACCAAGTTCTGTTATCTGTCTTCTACTGCTTCAAAACCTTGCAAAGGTCTGAGATGCGATACTAAAACTGAGACCTTTGCTAGTGTTGGGTTGTCTCAAGGTGACGACTGTGTTGTAAATCTTATACAACACTAGTGTTGTATCACAGTGTTGTATCAGATTTACAAGGTCAATAACCTGATTAAATGGACAGCCCTTATTGGAGTAATAGCACATGCATTATTAATAAGTTTTATAATACATGTATTGATTAAAACACTGGTAACAAGTGAGAAAACTTTAATTCTTATGACCTCACAATGACATTTCTTTAAAGGGTTTTTATTGAATGTATTGAATTGTATTRACTCGGCTTGAATCTGTATCAGCTCATGCCATTATTTTCCAAAAGTTAGCTAAGATCRTTACTGGGGGCAAATACTGGTCACATGTTAATAATTATTACTCACCCAGACACAAGGCAAATGTATTCGGTAGAGGTCGAGATGCATAGAAGAGAAAGTGAAATTGGCTGACAGTCAACACGATGAGAAAATTCCCAACATTGGAACCAAACTTTTTGGACACTGCTCTCTTGAAGGCAAGGAATGAAAAGACGGTAGAAAGACCAAGAACAAGTCGAACTGAAAATATAGATAAACTAATAAATAACATTTACCATTACATGATTGTCTAGTATTGTGCACATAATACACCAATGATGAATAAAACATCAGTTTAAACACTATTAGGAACTACAATGTCCATTATACGAAWGTCCAAAATATCACTTTTTAACCAATATTGTGCAGTAAAGTGTTACTTTAWTTMACAATAACAGCTCATTKGACAGACYCACTAATAATAGTCTCCTYGCAGCCGTTCTTAGTATTGGKCTCCCTGTGCTGGGGCAAGAAACAGGGAGCCCGCAACAATGTATCAGYACCTGATACCCAATGAACAATCCTGATTGGAATAACAGCTAGTATATACCTTATTGATGATAAAATGCATACCTACATAYTGAGAGTATATCTTTGGAGCTGAAAGCGATGTCAATATTGCCACAAATGGACTAGAGATGACAGATATGAAGAGGGGCCCGATAAAAGACCTYGGGACAACTCCAGGGAATTCTAAGTGATCGTACTATACGAAAAGAAAAAAAACTGTAAAGATACTAGGTGCAATTTGATTGACTGAAAAGCGCTCGTCACTTATTGCTCTACTAAATTACCTCATAACCTTACCTTATMAAGATCAAGTCTATGATATAATATGTCATGACTTGCTTGAAGGTTGAAACTTTCCTCTACTTTAGTATAGGGGCAATACATTAAATGACAGATGGTCACAAATACTACAACACTCTCCAATACAAAACGACCACTGGTGGCCGCCATCTTGGATTGTTATTATTTACCGCTGACCATCTAAACACAGRAATCCCACGCACAAATGAAAATATTATTAAAATTATTATGACATATTTTACTGAACTGGACATTGTATTTAGAGATAATGATTTCTAAGGTGTGGAGATATCGATAGAATAGCTTCATTTACTTCGCTTAATTTATAAATKTATTTTATATTTTTGCTGCCGGTCAGCGTTCCGTTTACCATTGCAGGCTCATAGCGTCACAACGTGGATCAGAATCGATCAGAAATCAACCTGTAGAAATGTYTAAAACTCCAAAAAGGCCGCAAAATGAAACGTTAGTGAATATTTCCTAGCATAGGTATTAATGTTCTGACGCTCTAACAGAACATTTGTTTCTTTTTAGTGAAAAAGAAGCTCCGTTTGGATACGAAGRAGTTCAACTCGACCAAAACTCATCTTGCCCATCGCTTGAGGAGACAAAACGAAAAAAAGAGTTCTGGTTAATTAAAGTTCCTGAAAATGTAAGTTATGAAATCGGTATGGAAAGTTGTATGTACTACGTAAGTTACTTTGTAGTTGTAGGGGAATATTTTTATACTTACAAGTGTATGATTGTACCATGCATGCATTTGATCTGTCGTGGAAGACGCTACACTGTACCTCCAAATAAACTCAAGTTTATGCTTAATTTAACCTGTAGCGTTTTATAAACCTGGCTATAATTCGAGAGATGCATTCTCCACAGAAAATCTTGTTCTGACACAGGGAGCCCAGAGTCAAGAGTTGGCTGACTAGCCCTTGATGTCTCGTTTTCATAAAATTATTCTTTTGTCTTTGTGCTTGAGTGACGAACAATTTCATTAAAACGAGACATCAAGGGCTAGTCAGCCATTTTGGATTAAGGTGTATGTGATAAGCCTCCAGGATCACCATATTACTTATATACAACATCAAAAGATTCATGTTATGCAGCATTTAAATATGGTGCCTTCATGGCAGTCACATTGATCTTGATTCGTCAGTAGGCTCTTTTTAGGGGGTGAAGATGGCTATTATTGTGTCCAATTTGGGGAGCAAGTAGCTTATTAGTAACACAGTCACTTGCCCTTGTTTTTTTTAACGGAGTGTGTGACATCACTTGCCTTTATATACAGACATGCTACATTTTTGTACAGTAATGATGCTTGTCATGCTYCTTGACATACTACCCACTGTCCTTATTTCATAATGTCATGCAATGTTCTTAATCTTCGTATCCTTCCTCTGGATAATTGACTGCTACATGTACCTTAATTGACTCAACAGTTCCAATCAGTTTACTTAATGACTCATTTTGTTTGTTCATTAGTTTGATGCTAGCTGTCTGACAGGACAGACTGTTGTATTGAATGGTGTTCAAGACATACCAAACCATAACTCAAAAGTGAGCTTATTTAAAAAAATCCAATGATACTATGATATATATATATTAATAATTAGTAATAATTCTTTTATCACTCTATAGGAAAATAATGACAGATATGAAGTTCTCTCGAAACCTATAAACAGTTCATTGGTAAGTCAAGGTCCAGGAAGGCTTTTATAATAGATTAGTATGGCTTTCATAATCTGAAAGTTAGAAACAACATCTTTATTGGTCTGATTCAAGGACTATTYCAGGATTTTGGGAGTATTTCCTATTTTCAACGGCTTTTCAAGTGCACTTTTCTTCACCACTCACTTCAAAAGATGTCACCCTTGCATCTGATAGAAGCATTAACTACCCTATTTCTTTTCTGAATTTTCTAAAAAAAACCCTGTAAGTTATGGGAGGTCAGTGTGTTAGACCTCAGACCTTATTAATCATGACTGTATTGTGACTGTTTCTGTAGCCAAGTTCRTTCAAAGCTCTTCTTCCATCATCAAGTGAAAAGACATTATGGTCTGGTATGTACGTTGTCTCTTCTAACCGGCCGCAAATTCTGGTTTCAACAAATTTCCTCCCCAAAAATTGGAGAGGAAATTTGACAAAACAGAAGTCACGGCTGTTAGAAGAGACTAGTAAGTATGTTGTTCCACTCATTATGGAGTTATATTGGCTGTATTTTTTTCGATATCAATCCAATCCTTTTTGGGTGTTGTATCTTTTKAAAATTTAAATTGCCTCCCTTCCTTTTAGATTAATGTTGTGTATACGATTTTCAGCCAAGACATTCAAAGGCAGCATGAGTGTTGTGAAGTCAGTTAGCATTCCAACACCAGATACAGATGTACAGCCTAARTTTCGCTGCAATGTGGAAGCACCTGATATCAAATGTAGATGGCAGCCATTTGGATATAGTAAGTAATGGAGGTGTAATCTCCATGTMTTTTGACAGTAAGGTTGATTTTCTGGAAATGGTCTCTCTGAAGCTRATTGGCATGTGGGTTTTAGTAAAGAAGGCYTTATTCTTGTATCAAAGCACCTTGGCMATTCTTCTCATTTAAARAACTGGATGGAAGAAAGGAATGGGAAATAAGAAATGGGAGGTGTGCTCTCACCCATGAAAACTGAATAGGCAAATTGAGTGGGGAAGTAAAAATAATAACAGTAATGATAAAATCAATGGAGTCTACAAAGAAAGGATTCTGAAAAAGGTTATTGTAGAGTAGAAATTTAGGAACTTGGGGGAGGGGGTTTAGATTTTCCTAGTTGTCTCATACTCCTTATAGTCCCCCCTTTCATCCAAGAACCTTTTGCGCATTTTTTTCTTACATGACAAAATTCGCCATCTCTGATTTTACAAAAGCAACTATAGCAATGGTTCTCGGATCCTCTAGGGCTTTTAAGAATTTTTCCCTTATTTATTCTTCAGAACAACCATTTAATGCTCATACAGTTGATGTAAAAGAAGATAACATTAAATCTAAAGATGATGCTTCTAAAACTMATAAAAGAATAACGGCAAAAARAMGCACAAGAMACGAAGAAAACACAGATTCWAACGCGGAAATTCTCAGCGTCCAAGTGAAAGTGGAAAGAGAATCACCAGGAAAAACTGAAAACAACCAAGAAATAGAAATAAAAGAAGAAAAGTTGAYTTCACCAGTTAAAGTTAAAGTGGAACTAGAAACGCCGAAAAAGAAACGAAAAAAGGGCAAATAAYTTGTRAAATACCAATGCAATAATCCTTTACTGATTTGATGTAGTTRTTTTCCTCAGTGGTACAATGTAAAAGCTTCCCATTTTCTTTGCAGAAACACACAATAGAATCCTCTATTYCAATCTTTAATGCGTTTAATC